TCTCCATTACTTTAAGGGGCAGAGGTAGTTGACCTCTGTGACTTCAGGGTGTGGCAGTACACACCTTTAATCCCAATGCCTGGGAGGCAGAGACAGGCAGATCTCTGTGAGTTCAAGATGTTGTAGCACACGCCTTTAATCCCAGCATCGGGGAGGCAGAGACAGTGGGACTATAATGCGCATGTGCTTGGTAACTTTCCACTGCTGCGTCCCTGCCTACTCCCGAGGCGTCATCTGGGTTGATGGGCAGCGGACCAATCCAAGAATGACACGTCCAAAGCGAGGACTGTTTCCTATATAAGGGATGGGTTCCCCTCATTCTGGGTCTCGGCTTTGTAAGCTTATGCTCTCTCTCTCAAGACGCATTAAAGCTTTTCTGCAGAAGGATCCTAAGTGTGCCGCGTCGTTCTTGCTGGCGAGACGGTAGCACGGGACATTCTTTTTTTTTTTTTTTTTTTCCAGAGGGGAATTATATTTATTCATACAACCAAAACATCAGACAGACTCAGCAGCAGGATGGATGGGCGGGGCTAAGGTTCGCTAAGGCCTCTGGGCCCCTCTGCCTTCGGACTTGGGGTGCTAGTGGCCGACAGTTGTCTTAATCTTTTCCTTTTTTTCTTACTAGGCAGGAAGGGGCAGGCCTCGGCCCTCACACCCTGTTTAGTAGTTTGACAGCTCAGGATAGAGTTGTGTCCACCCTACCTTGCTTATTTTCAAGGTCAGAGTACTTGCCCCAAGTCCAGTTCCCTGGGGAAGTGAGTGGTGAATACTGCCGGGTCTTCAGTCTCTGGTTTCTGGTACCCCTGCCACACAGGGTTGAAGACATGCTGGGTGGCCCAGCTTTGAGTCCCAGAGAGTAGGGCAGATTGGGAGTTCAGGTCTCAGCAGGTGTGTGGAGGGGGCCGGGATCTCTGCTCCTCCATTCGACCTCCACCCTGAACTCGGAGTAGCAACTCCAGGAGCTCCTGTCCCCCCGGGGGGAGGGGCGGCTCTGACCGCTGGGCTTCCATCCGCTGGCACTAGAGATGTGGAGGGAGAGGGCACTGGTAGTCGGGTGTTGGGTTTGGGTAAGCGGGCTAGGGTTGGTGTAGGGCAGATAGGAAATCTGTGCCGGCAATGAGGGGAGTAGAGGCTGGTCAAGGGACATAAGACGTCTGCCTTACCTGGTGACTAAGGATGGTGCTGTAGAGCTGTTCTTTGTCCTCAAGAAGTCGGGGTGGGGTTGGGGCTAGGCTTGGGGGAACCTGAGGAGTGTGGAAGGTGGCCCTCTGTTCCTCTAGGCGGCGGGACTGGGCCTCAGCCACCAAGTCGAGGAGGAGCTCGGTCTGCAGGGAGAGCAGGGAGCCCGACCGGGGGCCCAGAGCTATGGGAGAGGAGGGAGGAGGGCTAAGACCCAGAGACGGTGGCAGAGTGGAGTAGCAAGAGGTGGGGACAGGTGAGCTGACAGACTGTGGGTTAGGGACTGGCGGGTGAGCAGGTACGATGGTTAGTGGGCCTACACTGGGAAACGGAATGGGTTAGGATCTCCCAGGGTTGGTGGGGTACCTGTGTGGCGGGTTCCTGGAGGAGGAGGGGAGGGAGGAGCAGATCGCCAAGGCCGAGTGGTGGAGTTCACAGGGGGCCAGCCCTGATCATCTTTCGGGGGACCCTGATGCCAAGACATGTCCAAACCAGTTAGGGGGAGGTGTGGGCAGAGGGCTAGGCCAGTCACCCATTTCCCGTGTTTCTGTTCCTGCCTCAGTGTGCCCAAGATTTTCCAAGTCTCCTGTGTCCATCCGTCTCTAGGTCCTCACGGGGCCTTCTCCCTGTGTTGGCCTCCCCACCCCGGCACCCAGCTCACCTGCTCACCATCCTCTTCTTCCTGGGGTCTTTCAGCCTCCATCCCTGGTCTTGGGAAGAGATACTGATGGGGGCGGGGGTGACTGGAATTCGGAAGGAGGACCGGAACCCTGGGTTCTTGAGGGGAATGGGGGCTGGAAGGGGTGGGGGCAGCGCGGGACATTCTTCTTCTTCTTCTTCTTCTTCTTCTTCTTCTTCTTCTTCTTCTT